CTAAAACTACTCATTTAAATTTTGATTTAGATACACCAACAACTTCAAAAAAGTCTTCTAATTAACAATATTTATCTAAAAAAGAGTAATTCCTTTTGAAAAAAAGTTAGTATCGCTACTTGACACTCGTTCRTGCATTGAAATATTAAACCTAAGTATTTCAAAAATATATTGCTCTTAAAATTATACTTTTAATCTTTTTAATACACTTATAAAAATATTAGATAGTGTAGCTGGGACAGAGTAAAATACGTTATTAAGTTGCACGTMTATGAAATTAAAAATTATGGTCTTGAATTCTTACAAAAGTTTAAATCAGGGAACAGAAACAAAATACAGTTGATTATCTGTTTTACATTAAATTTAAAATTAATAAATAAAGCTGATTGTGATTTATATTGATTTAGTGTTCTATTTTAAAAAATCGTATCATCATKAGAATTCCCATTAGTATAATATTATCATTATAGTCKTTATGAATAGCCAAATAAAATGCGAATTTCAAATGAGTGATTAACAATGTTAATGCAATTAAAACTTATGGAAGTATTGAATAATCGTGGTATTACAATATTAAAACCACTGATAAATCATAATGAATTCGATTGTACACACGCGATGTCTAATTCAACGGTAAAATCATATCTAATATACCTACTGATAATAATAATATAAAACATTAAATATTATTTAACTGTTTGTATTAGTAATTAAAMATTTCTCATCTATTTATTTATTAAGTTAAGTGTACTAACATATTTTATCATAACTGTATAACTATTTTGAATTCTAATGTTTCAAATTCCATTTTTATTTATTATTTATGGGTGTACACTTTTTATATTAAATTCTAATTAACTCTTTTTTTTTTTAAACAAAACATATGTTTTTTTTTATAACTCTGGAAGRCTTGATGTGTGTTTGAATGTCTGTTTTAAACGCTTTTTGACTTTTTGTGATGAATAGGTATTTTAAACATATAACCTGCACCAAATGCGTGGTTTTTTAAATTTTTTAATTTCCTAACTAGATTTATTATTATCGAATTCCTCTAAAAACTCAAACTATAGATTTTTATACAAATTATAAATTATAATTATTAAAGATAAAATAAAATGTCTACATTTCTCACCTTCAATATAATTACGTGAGTACGTAACACTAATACTCTATACGAATCATATAATTATTTTAATCTACTTAGTCATTAAACCGTAAAATATACTCAATGAATGAATGTTTGATGATTTTTTTACACTCTTTATTGATGTGTTAACATCTTTAGGTGCCCCCACCCCCATTCTAAGGCGATAGTAATTTTATTTCTATGGTTAACTGTATAGTTCACTACTATATACTATTTAGTTTATCTAATCATACGAGTATTACATTTTTGGTTCTAAAAGTAAGCATATGTATTAATGTAGGTATTAAAAGAGTATAAATAACTGCATTTACGTTTCATTTGATTTTAATATGCTTCGTAAAAAAATAACATTAAATAATAATTGCGTTTAAAAACATATACTTACGGTATATTTTTATTGTGCCATCTGTGTCTCCGAGTGCATTTCTTGACAAACATTTGTACGTGCCGTAATCTTCGGCAGTAACAGACTTAATTGTGAGTTTCATTCGCGTTTTATATTGTTCAGTGACAAACTCTTCCGGTTCATATTTTTCTCCTGAAARTTAAATTACGAATTTTATAACTACGACTTAGCCGTTTAAAAATAAATTGTTACAAACAATAGGGGTTATAATATTATAACGTATYGATATTTGTTAAGTCTAATGTAATTTTATTAAAACGAGGAGCAGAAACAATTATGAATTTAATTCTTAATATGAAATCATTGTTTTTTTCAAGATTGCTTTTCATTTTAGATCATGCCTCGTGAACCTACTCCAATAATCATAAAATGGAAGTATTATATGAAATTAGTTTTGTATAAAAACATACAATATTCAACACATAGGTACCTATCAATATTCAAAAATAGATATTATGATGTCTGACTATTTAGTATTTATGACTAAAAATAAGGTTTTTAAATTATTAATAATTTGACTTAATCGTCTAAATTTATTTTCAATGCACATTTTATTCAAACGTCAAACTGTGTATAATTTTAAACATTGTAATATGCGATCGGTTGTTCGTAATGTATTATTATTATTATAACATAAAGAAAACGAAGCGTTGTAATTTGAAAATATGTACTCGAGTTTGAATATTACAATATGTATATTATGTATAGTATATATTTATTAAGTGCTCCAGCTTTCTAAGTGAACTATACCATATTTATACCAGTGTTGTTGATTTGACTTTATAAACAGAATTAATTACTTACTAAATTAGCATATCATTGTTTGAAATAAAATAAGACAAGATGTATGTTATATAATGAATACTATAAAAGTATGTACTAATAATTTCATACACTGTTGATTACAGTCTTACATTCTGAAACTCCGTAAATATG